ATCAGTCACAGAATCTATAAGGGTCTTTTGAAGCAGCATCTTCAACTTTTATAATTTATCTGTTACTTGTTCTTTTAGTATTTCTTTATTTCTTTACTTTTTTCGGTGTTGCATTAGCATAAGCTAGCCTTTCTTTGCAACAACCATGCTTGCAAAAATAAAAATTCAGTTCAGTTCAGTTCAGTTCTCGAGTATGCCTGTTTTTCGAGGATATCAGATGCAATTTGCACCTTGCATCCATTTGTAATTCATTGTAACGACTGTAAAACGTACGTGTAAGTCCGAATGAAGATAAGAGTCGTGTTCATTTATTGAAACACGCATTTCTTTTTTGATGCGTAGACGAAATATAAATACACGTGCTTTGTGTTTAACAGGGAATTTTCCAACTATTGATTCATGCAGATAAACTGTCGTATATGTTTTGTAAGTGAATTACAGGTTTTTTCTTTCTAAGTTGACTCAAGATGAAACGTTTTCATAGTAACATACAGAACATTTAGTCATCAGGTGTTTTTTTCCTTTTGCAGTTTAGTAATATTCTTTTAGAATACGCCAACGTACACATACTAGCTGAAACAGTGATTTTCTAGAAAACTTCCGTATAGAACAGAAGCCGAGTCCAGGGATTATGATTTCCCGAACGTAATAGAAACCTACTTAGTTCATGTGTAAATTTCTTTCATTCTGTATATAGTTTCTATATACGGCCATGTTATACGTCAGCGCTGGTAACGGGCCATATTTTTAGCGGCCCGGTATTTACTGTGACATATCCCGACCGGCCCGTATGAATTGACTATTCAACCTGCCCGGACCAAACTGTGATTTTTATTCGACCCGACCGACCCAGCCCGACTTTGCCCGACAAGTTTTTTGAACACTTTATGAAATGCATATATATAAATGTAGATTAGGGTACGCATGGATCTCTTGGACTTGAAAACATTGAGCTATGCAAAAACAAATAGAACAGAATGTTTATCTGACAAAGTTCCAGCTTGTTTTACTCAAATGGTAATAAAAATAAATAAAACACATTTAAACAAAAAATTTTGATGATTGCACGAGTAATCTCTCCATTGATCTGACAAATAATATATCTTCAACGGTTTCTGGGTTCAATGATGCCCGACGTTCGTTAATAATTAGACCAGCTGCACTAAATTGTCTTTCCACACCGGCAGACATGGCTGGTATTGAAAACAGACGACGAGTCAATACAGCCAAAGTTGGCAACCTGCTTTGGTAATCGTGCCAAAATAATAATGGATTAGCTTGTCTGTATTTTTCATCTACATTAAACTGCAAATATTTATGCAGTTCTCCTGTTTTATGTAATGTTGAGCTACCATCGTCATCGTCTGTTGGATCATCGAATTCTTCTTCTAAAGTCTTATGTTTTTTCCTTGCTGGTGGATCTGTTGTTACCATTTGTGGAAGTTTTTTACAATCATTAACACCAAGAATAATTTCCATTTCTTGTCGAATAAAGGAATATGTCCTTCCTCTGTTATATGTTGTAGCAAACGTTAACTTTCGATCCTGTGGATGAAGAACAACTGCTGATAAATGACGTTCGTCGAACGTAAACATGGATACTAGAAATTGTATTAATCTTTGTCGAAAAAAGTTTGTACCTACAACAAAACAAAATTTACATGGACAGAATAAAAACGATTCCTTTGAATCAATATACCTTCATGACGATCATCTAATAAAATAATATTCCCATTTTTGTCAACACCATCTCCTGTTAAATGACGTTCCAATTTATTACAACCAATGTATACCATGTGCAGCGATGGACAACTGACTGTTTGAACGATTGTTGATACATGTTTGAATTGTTTTAATAGGCAAACTAAATCTTTGATTGCATCAATATTTATTTTATTTTATATTTATAATATTTATTTTATTTATTTTGCTTTATTTGCTGAATTACACAGTTTCACTTGAGATTACATATTTTTCGCGGGTGATAGCTTTTTTGCTGTCGTTAATAATGCTCTTCTTGTCGTAATCTCCTCATCAGAACTGTCATCATCGGATGAACTCTCTGAAGTTATATTTCTTTTTCGTCGTTGAGAAGCTCTTATAGGAGTAGGTTCTGTAACTGACTGTGGTTGTATATCTTGTTTCTTTAATCCTGTCTGATTGAAGGCTTTTTTAAGAATATTGTTTAGACGACGTGCGAAGCAAAACAAAACAGGCAGACCTTCCAGAGCTTTAATAACATTTGATCCTCTATCAGACATGAACGTTATTTTGTTTAAACTCAGATAAACATCTAAATCAAATTTTTTCAAGTCGCCGAATACCCTAAATAATTGAAAATATTCCCTTGTTGTTTGTTAAATTATTTAAAAATAATGTGAATTAAATCCTACTTACTAAAAGAAGATCTTCGCTGGATTTCGTTAATTCTTCATATTCACCGCAACACAAATCTAATGACCAATATTCAAAATCACTGTTAACAAATGAATATGATAAACCCAGATAGGAAACTTTTCTATGTTTGTCACTTCATAAATCAGGACTTAAGCACAATGAGCCAAATTCTACTTGTTCAACAGATATGGGTTTAAATAATCGTCGATGAATAATCGGCGTTGAAATGCGTTCACTGGCTGCTAAAACGCGTCAAAACACGTCAGATGTGTCAACTAACGCGTTTATAGGTGCGTTAACTTACAAAAAATGTTTGCCTGGGTAGGTTATATGCTCTGGTGATCGTGAAAGTATGGTGAAACCCACTTTTATTTTAACTCTTTCGACTCGTTATAGCAAAATTCATTCGTTTGGTCCGTCCATAGCAACGCTCTTATTTACGCCATAAGAACCAATAGTTACACCATCCAAGACCTAGTGTATTGTATATAGCAACATTTGGCAAAATTAGACAATTTCTTGAACTGAAAATATTAGAATTAAATTCAGCATATTCTAGCGCGTAGAATAAGCCCAGAAGCGCGCTTTTTTGATGTACTCGTGATCGTGGGAACAGCGCCAGAAAGAAAGATAATGATTTATTAGCTAATTCTCTTTAAACGTGAGACTCTTATTTATGCAAAACGCCTGAAGTGACGCGTGAGTAAACGCTTCAGCAAGAAGACTTGCTACAAGAAAGTCATAATTCAGCATGCGTTTTCCATTTATTTGAAATCCTTTTTCAGTAATGGTTGCCTCTTGTTTTACTCGGACTTTCTTCGAGAACACGATGTAATCAGGCTTCATCATAGAAAACTCTCTGTGTACAACAAAAAGTCATTTTCGTGGAAATTATGGTTCAAAAATAAAAAGCTTTGTTCTGGCACCAAACTTGTCAAATAATAAATTAGCCTTAAATTTAATATGAATACGTAGCAATTTTTAACCATCACCTGTTTGCATCATGTTCCCGAAGAAAAGCCCGAGTAAAACATCGTGCAATAAAATATTGAATAATATATATTCAAGGAGTAGAGTGCTCACTGTAAACTTATGTCGTATTGCATCAACTTCGCGAACTAACATCGTACTAATTAGAGAAGACCCATTTTCATCTTTTATGCTGTTTTAAAGTACACGAGTTGTACACGATGCTGATCTATTTTGTAGGAAAGGATCCCTTTAATTGAGAAATATGACTGTGAATATCGATGATAATTCTCTAAAAAAGGAAGTTTTTCCTTGCTCGACTTCCAGAGACTTCTTTTGCTTGTCTCGAAAAGTTCCTTTTTTTAAACAATAATTAACGATATTCACAGCCTTATTTCTCAAGACTTAAAGGGGTCCTTTCTAAAAGTAGATCAGCATCGTAATAAGAATAATTGGGGAATAGAGGAATAGCGACCGGCCGTCCGGAATATATTCTTAAACCCTAAGCATACGGCAATTTTATTCACATCTCTTTATCTCTTAACTGTCTCATTCCGTTACTGCGTACTCACCAGGCGTCTCAAATTCGGTGACTCATGGGGGACAGAACAAAGAAATCACCATGACAGTCCTTTCTTCTGTCCCCCATGAGTCCTCAAATTTGGGATCCGTGGTACTTACTCTGAATTCACCTTATTCAATTTTTTTGTATAACTTTTATAGATCTATACGTGCGTATAGTGGCTGAAGAAGTGAAGTGTATTTTAACTCTTTCGTACTGTCATCCACTCTATCTATCAGCTAAGTATGATCGAGAAAGCTTTTAATCAGTTGGCGTATTTCCCTCGTGAGCCACAAGCATCACTCTCCGTGTGTAAGTGGAAGAATCGGCTAATCACATGCAGTTTTAACTATCAAACCACACACACGTAGATTAAAACAAAGCCTGTATTCATAATCAGTGCACACAACTGAGTCTAATGGTGTGTTTCTCGAAGATTTCCTAAACAATTGTTTTCGGCAAAAGTTTCGGCAAGCATACCTCAAGGCAGAAAATTGCTTTTTGTTGAACTGCCGAAAATCATTTTTTTAGCAACTGTTTCATGATACCTGGTCGTAATGAAGTTGAAAGTATTTCTCCGAAGCTTTAGTCTTGCGATTTTTCTAAGGAAAAATAAACACTTAACATTACCACTGTACATCCAAAAAATGCAAAACATCGATCTTTCAATTGCTTCTCGTCATTGTCATTTTCTAAATTTCCTAAATGGAAAAAATGAACCGAGCAAAAACTGCAAAACACTTTATGTAATGTGACAAAATAAGAATAGCTTTCACAGGCACAAACAATTCCATATGAATATTAACAACTTCTGAGACGAAAAATAAGAATAACCAAAGGAAAGAAAGATGCATATGTGTTAGATATAAGTATTGTTTTAATATATCGCTACTTAGTCGGTTTATCTCTAATATAAAGGTATCAACTATTAAATTACAGTAATGAAATGAAGTAGAGAACTGCTGAGAAGATCATGATTCATTCAAATCACAGATTTATTTTCACAATATTTCGACAGTCACTGCTGCCATTTTCAAGTGAAAAGAGATAGAACTGTATATTGGCT